GGTTGAACAAATGCAAAAGCTGTTGTGTTAATGCTTATGACATATTTCACTGTATATTGAATTTTTGATTTTGACCATAGTTGCACTTTAATCTTGACTGAGTGTACAGCCTGCACTTTGGAGGAAAGGGACTCCACAGGGATACATGGATCAATTTAAAGAATAAAAGGGTATATCCAGGTCATGGTGTAGCTGGTAGTAGATAGTCACATTCAACTGGACTTGTTCTGTAATGTTTTGCCACCACAGATGATGGTGGGGCTCTCCCTGGCCATGCTTTACCACTATACCACCAATGTTTAGGAATCCCCTGTGTTTTAACACTCTTGACTGTGGGAGTAGAGGGTTATGGGTTGTATAACTCAAGGGGAATTGGCTATTTGTAGCCCAATGTTCACCCTCTACACTTTAACAGACGTTTCCAGAAAGTTCGCTCCATTTTTTTCCTTAATATAGTAAAAAAATAAAACCCCCAGTGGTGAATAAATACCACCAAAAGAAAGCTCTATCTGTCCCCAAAAAAGGGTATAAAATTCATTTCAGTACAGCGCTGCATGACGGAATAAATGTCAGTCAAAGTACCGCAGCGCTGAATACTGAAAAATGGCCTGGATGGGAAGGGGGTTTAACACCGCGGATGTCAACTGGTTAATGAATACATCAATGCATTAGGGACTCCTGATGAATCGTATTACTATCCGTGACACACATTGAGTGAATCCCATCCCATAACATGTCTCTGCAACAAAAAATGTGATATACTATACATGTGTAAAGAGGAATTGAAACCGATAGTTATTGAAAATATTAGGGATGCACCAATATCAGTTTAATGAATCACCTCCTGGCGTCCCGATTAGCTGGGAAGCCATCTCCATGCTCCCTTGTCACCAGGTAATAACTCACCGCCTGGCTTCCTGATTGGCCAGCTTCCCGACCAATTAGGAAGCTGGGCAGCAAGTTACTACACGACACCCGGCTTCCTAAATGGCAGGGAAGCCAGCTCCATGCTCCCTTGTGATGAGGGAGCATGGAGCCGGCTTCCCGGCCAATCAGGACGCTGGGCGGCGTGTAATGACTCGCTGTCCGGCTTCCTGATACCGGAAATTCCGGTATTGGGATAGGCATCGGGAGCATTTGGGCAAGTGCGCTTACTCGCCCAAATATTTGGTATCGACACTAGTATCCGTATCGGTGCACCCCAAAAAAATATACATATGATAGAATGTGTTAATTTGTTGAGGATGTTAGAAGGGATTCTTACATGTAAAAGGAGCATTTTTTTTACTACCTCAGATACTACAGGATATATGTGTTTTTTTTTTAAATCTGTTTTAAACTCTTGTGTGTTACAAATAAAAGGGTTTGTTTAAAAAACCTTTAGTGGGTACCTCAAAAGTCCAGTTTCATTTACATGGATAACCTATTGAATTTGTGGTATCCCACACCATCAACCTCCATGTGATACCGGTAGTTGTTTTTGTTCTGTAATGTTGAAGATGTTTCATCACCTATGAGTGGATGGATAAGTGGATAAGTGGCAACATGTCTTGAATATTACTGAATCAAGTTTATTGTGAATTATTACTACTAGCTATACTAGGCCAGGTCAGGCATCGGGCATCCTCAGCATGATTATAAGATAGAGAAAATCACCACCGGTAGTGGACAGTTTACAGTCTCAGGAGGAAGAGGAGAATCTTGTATTTTCCATCCTATCTCGGAAAAAGTCCCCAGAAAATATATAATTCTTCAAAGTAACCTGTTCTGAGTAAAAAGGCTCATTAAACAGGCAGCTGAATTATAACAAAGGGAAGCCTGGAAGTTGGAAGATAAGTCAAAGCAGTGGAAACTGCAGTTCAGTGTTTCTAAACACAAAATGATGCACTTAGGGGGAAAAGATCATCTGACAGAGTACAATATTGGGGTACGGTGTTGGCCAGCAATAAAGGGGAAAGGGTTTTGGGTGCCTATTTTAGGTGATTGCAAAATGAGCAAATAGTGTGGGCTGGCAGTGGGAAAAGTAATTAGAGCTCTGGGGTGCATCACTAGAGGGGTCACCAGCAGGAGAAAGGAGATCCTGATTCCCCTATATAGATCTTTAGTTATTACTAGTGGGATCGCCAGTGGGAGGAAGGAGGTCCTGGTTCTCCAATATGAGGCTTTAGCATTTTGGTCACCACAAGGGGAAGAAGGTCCTCATTCCCCTATATAGAACTTTAGTTATCACTAGAGGGCTAACCAGCAGGGTGAAGGATGCCCTGATTCCCCTATATAGATCTTTATTTATCAATAGAGGGTTTGCCTGCAGTCAGAAGGAGGTCCTGATTCCACTATATAGAGCTTTAGTTATCACTTGAGGGATGCCCAACAGGAGGAAGGGGTTCTGATTCCTCTGTATAGATCTTTAATTATCACTAGATAGATCACCAGCAGGAGGAAGGAGGTCCTGATTCCACTATATAGATCTTTAGTTAGACCTCATTTAGAATATTGTGACCAGTTCTGGAGATCTCACTTACAAATAGATACTGATCACATAGAAGTAGTCCAGAGAAGGGCAACAAAAATGGTGAAAGGTCTAAGGGATAAAACATATCAGTAGAGACTGCAGGAACATGATATGGACAGTGTGGAGGAAATAAGACAAAGGGGTGACAGGTCTTAAACCTTTAAACAAGAGTGCGAATAAAGTTCAGGAGGGCAGTATTCTCAATATCCAATACCCAATCCCTTATTGGTTGCTCTGCCCTGTGGCCAGGATACACCCAACAGCAGGCAGATGCAAACAATTACAGATTGATAAGGGGAAACCAGATGAGCATACACTATAGATCAGAATCAGACTGCTTACAATCTGACAATACAACATTTACTAGGCACTCCTGCTTACAGGGTGCTATACACCAAATATAGCATTGAATGAACTGCAGCTAAGTCCCAAAGATCCCAATTTCACACCCTAATGGCCAGTAAAGATAGTCCCAGGCTAGCCGGCGTTGGGGCCCAAACTCTATTGATTCAGCATACTGAAGCACAGTAGTGTTATGGCCAATGGCCCCTCACCCCAGTCCCAATGCTGAGATGGTAGTTCAATGTTGGTCAGCGAAGAGACAGGTGTCCCCACTTCGTCCAGCTAACTTGCCTTTATTCGCCAATTGCTCTTTGAAGACTGGATGCCATAGATGACTACCTCAGCAGAATAGTGGCGCAGTCCTCCAGGTCGGCCACATGCTGTGTCTTGGTATCCGTTGCAATGCTAATGCCGGTCTCCAGTCGTTTGTACAGGCCGCAGCTCTCTCTCTCCCTTGCTGATTAAAGTAGCTCTCTCCCTCAATCTGAAGCAGCGATCTCCCCTGCCAGTTATCTCTCACAAGGCAGGGGTTAGTAAACAGCACCGCTGGATCTGGCCTCTTTTGGTTTCTCAGCCAGCAGTGCTGCTATCTGTGTCTGCATACTTGCTCACTCGGTCCTGAACCGAGCGCACCTTCCCCACACTCTCCCAGCCCACTTCACCTCTCCTCCCGACAGCCTCCTGGGTGTTGATGTTCAGTTACCTCAGTTCGGTACAGTCACTCTTAGACTGTAGACTACAGTCCCCACAATCCTCCATTGCGGGAATCCCAGACAGCAGCAATTAACTTTTAAGAGGGAGAATGCTGCACCAGGATAATGGCTGCACCTGGGCTACATCTGCAAAAGAGTAGTTGATGTTTGGAACAGACTTCTAGCAGAGGTAGTGAATCAGTCAACAGTAGGTGAATTTAAACATGCTTGGGACAAACATAGATCTAAAGGGTTTAAAAAGAAAAAAAGGGACAGGCTTGATGGACCACTTGGTCTTTTTCTGCTGTCACTCTTCTATGTTTCTAAGCTACATGCTTCAGCTAAAATGGAAAGTGGTTAACACTGTGAAAGAGGAAAAACATCTGAATTGTATCCACACCTCGCAGCGACATCTTAGACATGGAATTCCTGAAACAATAAAAGAAGCTGGCTCAATAGCAATTTGCCAATGGCATAAAAATCGATGAATGCAGTCAAATCATGAAATGTGCGAGTTGCATAAATATTATAAAAAACTTTTCACAAAACGTATCAGCAGGGGAGTTCAACAGCCCCAGGACCTAAAGTGATTCTCCAACCATTTTTTAAAATTAATTTTATCTAAATTTGGACAGAGCGGGGTAGATTTCAACCAGGTTTCTATTGCTGTCTGTGTCCTTACTGGTGAGATTTCCCCTCAATTCCTGTGTTAGAGGATCAGGGGGAAGTGGGAAGAAATCTTGTCAAAGTAAGAGGATACTTTACCTCTTACAGATGTCACCCAAACAGGTTTCCTCATTGGGTGAATCTTTTACTTATGTTCCAGGGACAATATAAATCATATATTTCCCTTAAACTCAGGAGTTCTATCTTAAAAATGCATTCAATTACCTTAACTGTTAACAAAAATTGACCTTGTTTGAGCATTACTTGGCTGTAGATCCTCAAATTATCTCTGAATTGGTGCTGACACTGTCCTTCCTTCTGGAGGGTGACTACTTTTGTTCCCCATGTTCCCTGTGTGTGTTGTACAGTACCCACCATTCCAAGCCGAGTCCCGTGATGGACTACAATCTCATGTTTAGTTTACTAATTTGTACTGAGATTGTATTAGAATTATATTGCCTTAGGACCCAAGAAATACCGCCACCACATCCAAAATGGCACCATCTAGTCCAACTACTTTATGAAAATAAATTTTAAAAAAACCCTCAGTGTGGATGCAATCCTGCCAGAGACAATTAAATACACTTCTCCAGATATATAACAAGCCACACTTTGGCCTTGAGTGTTGGCCATTAACCTCAAGTATTCAACCAAGGCCTCATAACACCAATGCATAAGAGTGGAGACCAGTACAATCTAGCCAACTGCAACACAACTGTCACAACAAACTGTCTGAACAAAAGAAAAGATTGCTAGATATAATATATAGAAAGCTATTGTTTTCAAAAACAAGCCACACTTCTGTGAATCACCATAGATAAAACAGTTATTTATTGTAATAACAATTACATGCTGTGGAACAACTTCTCATGTGTATAACCGCTCATGCAATCGGTGAAACGCCTGAGAGGTTGCACACATCGGAAGTTGTTCCACAGCATGTATTTGTTATTACAATAAATAACTATTTTTTATATGATGATCCACGGAAGTGGGGCTTGTTTTTGAGAAGAATTGTGATGTACTGCAGAGGCGAGCCGGCTTTGCCTGCACCTGTGGAGTGATTAATGGTTGGATGGGGTCTGAGAATTACAACAGTGGACTGTCTGCGCTATGAAGATAGATAGACATAGACGGACGGACAGACAGATAGATAGACATTGTAAAAAATAAGACAGATGATTAGATGACACATGCACTGCAGGCTCTCTTCCTATAGGGTAAACATGACAGGCGACTGGAGATGTGGGGAATAGCAATTCATAGCAGCACTCATTGTCCTCATATAGAGTGAGAATAACTCTCTGTATGCCTCTTTTTAGGCCACCTCCAGATAATAATATAGGAAACTATCACATCCGCTCTTCTACATAGTTTCTTGCAGATTATAAACAGGCCACATGTTTTATTATTACTGATTTCATAGTATGAGTTTTATCATACACAGCAAGCACAATGTAAAAAACTATGAGAAATAAAAATGTTAAAAAAAAAAGTTAAACATATGTTTGAAATAACATAACATTTCTGTGGTATTTGAACAATGTGTTAGGGTACTTGGGAAAAAAGAGTTACCCCAAATTGTGTATTCACTCTATATTCAAAGGTTTATTGTAAAACACTAGGGAAGTCACAAATGGAATGAACTTTAGTCATTGTAGACCACAGGTTGAATAACAGCTTGCAATGCCAGGCCGTGGTAAACAAAGCGGAGAGTACTGTCTTGTATTAAGAAGGGAATGTACTGCAGAGACAAGGCTATAATTTTGCCACTTTATAGATCGCTGGTTCGGCCTCATCTGGAGTATGCGGTCCAGTTTTGGTCACCAATCCACAGAAAGGATGCCCTTGAACTGGAGGGTGTCCAGAGGAGGGCAACCAAACTAATTAAGGGGGGGAGGACCAAACCTATGAGACAAGGTTACTAAATCTAAACATGTTCACGCTGGAAGTGAGGAGATTAAGGGGGGGCATGATTTTCTTGTACAAGATGTTCAATGGAAATAGCAACATCAGCAATAAACTCTTTACGTTAAACTCCATAACAAAAACTAGAGGCCACCATCTAAAACTAGTGGAGAAAAAATGTAATCACAAGGGGCGTAGGGGCTTCTACACAGTAAGAGCGGTCAGGGTATGAAACTCGCTGCCACAAGCAGTGATCTCAGCTAAGAGTGTTGAATCATTCAAAAAGCATTTGGACGATTTCCCAAGAGACCGCAACATACAGGGGTACAGGTAAACTTAAGAAGAAGAATGCACATGGACTCATCCACACTCATACACATGTGGATTCACATGCATACACGCTATACTTGATGGACCCGTGTCTTTTTTCAACCTCAAATACTATGTAACTATATATACAGGTATGTAACTATATATACAGGCAGTCCCCGGTTTACGAACAAGATAGGGACTGTAGGCTCGTTCTTAAGTTGAATTTGTATGTAAGTTGAAACAGGTAAATTTTTTTAAGTGTAACTCCAGCCCAAATGCTTTTGTTTGTTTTGGATAACATAGCGAAGGGTTAACCCCCTGTAACGTTTGTTTTGCTGTGTGTGCCCCTGTTCAGAAGATTTCACCTCACTTTCTGCCCCTGGGACAATTGGATTTTGAAAATTTTGGGTTGTCGTGGAAACAAGGATTGGTGATAAATCTTCAGTGGAGACACCTTTTTCCCATGATAACTTCCCTTGCTAGGGTTAGATTTCCTCTCACTTCCTTTTGTCTCAAGGACAGGAAGTGTGATTAAATCTTTCTAATGAGGATATAGACAGCAGTAAAAACCTCACAGTGACCCGGAAGAAGAGGCGGGCATCCCTCGTCTGCACGTCTAACAAGAGCCAAGTTCCTGTAATGTACGTACAGTACTACGAACCGGACCTAAAAAGGCGGGCGCTCCTCGTCAGCACGGTAGCATTACAACTCCTGAAATGCTGCGCGGTGCACTTTGGCTGCAGCCTGGGACCCCCTGATGTACAGTAGAGAAGGAGAAAAATATTTTTTCCCCCTCAAATGTCACTTTTGCTGCAAACGAACGAATGAAACGAATAAGAAACGAATAAGAACAGAAATCAGCTTCTCTGTCTCATTATCAAATCTTACCTGAGCAAACCTAAGAGAGAAGCTGATTGGTTGCCATGGGCAACTGCTCCAGATCCTGTCTGCTCCAGTTTTGATAAACTCCCCCTGTTCTCGACGGGGGGGACGCGGCCCCCGCAGGTCGCATTTCCTCCGCGGCGGTGCGCCGCGACCGGCTCCGGGCCGGCTGGGAAGGCCCAGGGGGGGAAGGTGGCCGGGCGGGAACGGGAGGGGGGCTCGTATCTGTATTCTGTTCCATATCTTATTTAAAATCATATGCCATTTTTCATTATGTTTTAGTTGAAAAGGAGGTCTGTTTTCACGGCGACCTCATTCTACAGAAACAATTGTCCTCATCGGAAGGTTCCCCTCACTTACTGTTCAGGTGACAACTGTAGCATTTTGGATTTTCCATTGTTTTCTGTCCTATTGACAATGGAGAGGGTGAATCTTCCTATGGGGGACACAGACTTCAATATAATCTAACACTATCATACAAAACAAAAGAAAGAAAAGAACGCAAGTTTGGCTATAGATATGCAGGGGTAGCCAAACTTCGCCCCTCTAGCTGTTGTGGAACTGCAAGTCCCATAAGCCATTGCAAGACTATGACATCCACAGGTATGACGTTCAGCAGCATGATGGGTTTTGTCGTTTCACCACAGCTGGAGGGCCGATGTTTGGTTACCTCTGCTTTAAAGCAACAATTCAATACTCAATGTTGTTATTCACACTTTGTTTGCATTAGATAGCATTTGTCCCTCTGGGAGCTGTGGTTCCTTCAGCCTGCCACTACATCACTACAAGACAAAATAGTGATCTGGGGCTAACAAGAGAAAGCACAGCACCCAGCTATCTGACATGGAAAGGTAAATAGCAAATCTTTTCTTTTACTGGGTGCCTTTGTATTATTGTTATTTTTTACTGTGGTGACAGTCACTTTAACCACCTGCTGTCCGGCCGTTGTAAATAAATGGCCGAACAGTGGCTTCTTGAATGCGGGTGGGCGTTTTTAAACGTCCCGCCCCGCTCGTGCCCGCCACTAGGCGGCATGCATGAGTGGGAAATCAGCATGAAATGTAAACAGCCAGCGATGGCTGTTTACATACAAGCGTTCGGACGCCCGATCGCTTGTAATATGCGTGTGAGTGTGCGCCCCCTCCTTTGCTGCTGGCAATCTCGAGCTCCGCTGTGCCCGGTGTGAGCCCGGGACCAGCACAGCAGCTCTGCGGCCAGAGATCAAATGGAGTTCAGTACACGTCTCCGTTTGATCTCCTCTCCTCTTCCGAATGCAGGTAGTCATGTGTATTACATCACTTCCTGCATTCAGTGTCACTCTCCGGTACAGAAACCGGAGAGAAACTGGTGAAGCAGGTGTTTGCTTCATCAGCTTCTCTGGGGGTCCCTAGGTGACATTAGGGGTCTTGGAGACCCCTGATGTCTCCATAAAGAGGACTTGTCACTTAAAATTGGTTATCACAAAGGGGGCTTGTTAGTCCCCTATGTGAGAGCAATAAAGTTAAGTGAAAAAAAAAGGTTTAAAAGAATTTGTTAAAAAAATAAATAAAAAAATTAAAAGTCACATATAAAGTTAACAATAAAAAAAAATGTAAGTCCCCCACATACACATGCAAACTTGCTTCGAGTGCGCCTACGTGCGGAAACCACGATTGCATCCATTACGCCACACATGTTACATATCGCCGCGAACGTCGCAGTGAGAGCAATAATTCTAGGGCCATCAATCACTGATAACACTAAACTGATGAGCGGTAAAAGCTTTTAAAGTGTCGCCTATGGCCAATTTTGGGTATGGTAGTTTTTGCGAGTTATCGGGCGCACACAATTTTAATGCTTGATATGTTTGGTGTCTATTTACCCAATGTGACCCTGTTTTTTGTCAAACATTTGGGTAATAATAATTGTTTTATAACATAACGTAGCAAAAACTGTTTTTTTTCCAGAAATGTTTGGTACTGTTTTCATTATATAGTAAAAGATAAAGCCGGTCCATAAGGCAGGGCTAGGGAGGGGGAGCAGAAGGGCTAAATCTTTACAATGTTCTCCTCTGCTCCTCCCAAACTGTTAAATTCTAGACATGTGCGATTCGTTTCGTTCCGAATCGAAATTCGGACGAATTTTCGGAAATTCGGACATTCGGATGTATCCGAATTCCGAATTACAGACATAACGAATGCAAACGAATCCGAATTTCCATTTCCGAAATTCAGTAGCGTTAGTACGAACGTTCGTTTCGTTTTCTGTTCTTATTGATTTCTTATTCGTTTCTTATTCATTTCGTTCGTTGGAGCAAAGTGACATTAGAGAAGGAGAAAAATATTTTTTCCCCCTCAAATGTCACTTTTGCTGCAAACGAACGAACGAAACGAATAAGAAACGAATAAGAACAGAAAACGAAACGAACGTTCGTACTAACGCTACCGAATTTCGTCCGAATCCGAATT